TTCGGTGGCCCTTAGTATTGCCACACTACGAAAAAGTGGTTTCGAACCGGAAAAAAGGAAGACATCTCTTCATCAAAAACTCTCCGAAATGAATATAGTCTTCAACACCTCTTTAGAGTAACATCGAGGAGCACCCCTGCCTTGAGGTGCATCTGATTGGGGCCCTCCATCGTCACATGGAACTCTTTGATACCAGCGGTCTTCATCAACCCTGCCAGGACTTTATCAAAATTGGATAGGATAACTCCATTGCCATTCACGTGGTAATCACAGAGGCCCTTAATATGAAGTGCTGGTAGACTCAGAGTAAGGCGCCCAGACTCGAGCGAAACTTGTAGTGATTGTCCGAGAGCGGTGCCACAGAATTTACCTTCCCAAGTCGGACGTCGGGTAGTGGTAGTTGTGGTGCTAGTAATAGTAGTAGTGATGCTCGGTGTAGTCACGGCCAGTTCAGTCGTTGAGGATGACCCGGGGCTTCTTGTAGAGGGCGATTCGGGACAGGGGACGGGACTACCCACACACTTAACATCATCAGGACCACCAGTGCGGAAGCACAAGCTGTTGTCCTTCCTGCGAATGAAGCCTTGGCAGACTGGCTCATGTTGCCAGTGCTTGCAGTAAGAGCCCTTGCCGGATCCAGCACATGCAGTCTGACTGCCGAGGTCGGTACACATCTGCATACACAGATCAGATGCCGCCGAAGCGAGAGTAATGAGAGCCAGGGAAGTGATGGTTCTGTACATTGGAGAAGTAGGCCGGATAAGAATTGAACTATAATACGATTAGTTAATAATTATAATAAGTATAGTATAATTAATAATTATACTATACTATAATATCATTGCACACTGAATCAATGGGTAGAAGTCTCATAGTACACATTCAAGGTTGCGTGCTGACACGGGAGTTTTTACTGTAGCGTCTTGGGGCTCAAGTATGGTTCTTCCCAGTGGCAACTCAGGATCATTTGAGGGTTCGGAGTCATTCATTAGGAAATGAGGGTGATAATATCTGATACCGATGTCATATGAATCAATAAGTTTGACCGAAAAGAATAATGGGCAATCCGTGAGGCTTCCAAAGCACAAGCAATGAGCAATGGGGCACGCACACACATAGCCTGATCGATTGTGTTCGGGCGACGACGGCCTAAGTAGTCGCACGCACGCGAGAGCAGCCTCAGCACAGAGACCTTCCTAAGAGCGGAACGCTGTAGACGTCCCCCAAGGTCGAGTGCTGAAGAGCTGCAAAAAGAAAAAAGATTACGCCTCAAGGTATCCTGCCTCAACCATAGCCGCGCGTGAGGTGTCCTTGAGCATGTTCGTCGGAGTCAGATTGATACGCATGAGTACCGAAGACACCGTACGCAGGAGCGGACTGTCCCGCTGAGCGTTTTCCGGAGTGTCACCAGCGTAAGTGGAACCGTCATGAGATAACCACACCGGGAAAAATTTATTGCCATCATGCGAGTCGTAGATCTGGACCACTAG